TCCCGCACGCACAACCCCAAGGAAGCCGCTCCTGACGCATCGCCACGCCCTGATGAACCTTCCAGGTGGGATCGCAGACCAGCTTCTGCCAGGCCTGCTGGCCACTGCCCAGCCCTTCTCAGGTGACACATCTGCAGTGACTCGTTCATCCTGAAGTACACTACGAATGCTGATACCGTTACGGCGGACTGGACATCTGCTTCAGGGCAGGACGCCGCGGTGGCAGCGCGAGCGCCGTGCACAGCTGGCCTCCCTCCCACTCCCCTCTCCCAGCCACCCTCCGCACACAGGCAAGTAACCTTCAAGCGGGGTAGGCGCAGGGGCTGAAAAGGAAGGTAAACAGCTTCCCGAGAGCCCAAACAAGAAACTCTAAGCCCTTCATTGGGAAACTATTGGAATCTGGGTCAATTCTATTCCATTCCCTTTATTTAGCTGAGCTTGTACGGTTCCCTACCCAAGTAACAAACCACAGTGGGAAGAAAGACAAGACCCCGTTGCCCACCCTCCCCACACTCCCCCCCAGAGACACACGTCCCAGTCTCATCCTTAATCTGAGGTGCTATAAGCGATTCATAAAGCACTCACTCCTTCACACAGCACCTCTGCTGCCTTTCCAGCCTCTGTGATCGGTCCTGTTACTTGGACTCAGAGAGTTGTGTGGCTTGCGCGAGGTGACATGACCCTAAGCAGGAGGGCGAGGTGTTTAATTTCGCATCCCAGCGCTCCAAATTCTGACTCCCCCTCCACACGTGGCCTTGCCCATTACAGGAACCACGTGGAGCCGTGCGTCAGACAGCCGTCCAAAGCCACGAGCCTCCCGGTCCAGGAAAACAGAGCACAGCTCAAACTCGCAGAACTGGTTGGCAGCAGCACAGAATTGGAAGCACGGCAGTGGGCTGGGGAGGGTGGCAGCGGGCTGGGGGGCGACGTGGAAGGGGCGGCATGGAAGGGGAGGCGTGGAAGGGACGTCTCCATTTTGTTTGGTTTCATCAGCCCTTTCCAGGGCCCCGAAGGGCATCTGCAGTCTGCCTCACCCCTGCTTCTTTCTTTTTTTTTTTTTTTAAACCTTGACATTAATAGGTTCTCCTAATCTTTGTCTTTTCAAACCCACAACGTCAGGGTGAAAAGAAAAAAACAGCCAGTCTTGGCCACCTTTCCCTAGAGATCAACAGGCATATCCTGCACAGTGGGAATGTAATAAAATTCTGCCCTTCGCCCCCTTTTTCTGTCTTCCTTCTTTTCACCTTACAGACGACACTGGCCCACCCTCCGCACCTCGTGCAGCCCACTAAGCCAGCCTGACTTGGCCTTTCCTGCCTAAATCCTAGGCAAAAATAAGACAAAGCAACCCCCTAAAACCAGCCTTTGAGATGAAATCACTTTCAAGTTGTTATTCGTGAGGTGGGTCCTTGCCAGTCGACTAAAAGTCTCTGCTCAGTGGGGCCTGCTGGTAACCAGGCTGTTTTCACTGCGTTTCATCTCATTTGTCATTTGTATCACTGTGGCCTTTTGCACGAGCGCTTTACCACACCAGGGCTGGTGACTGCTTTGAACTCACTCGGCACAAGCATCAAGCTCTTAACAAATATTTAATTAAAAAGGGGACGATGACACAGTTCTGTTAGTAAAAAGTGAGCAGGGGGACGGAGGGGCTGTTTCTCGAGGAAACAATTTTTTTCTGCCTTTTCCTTAGAAAATCAGCTGCAAATGATGAATGCTGCTGATTTTCTAAGCTTAGAATGATTCATATGCCAGAAGACACAATTAAACCCGGGCGCAGTTTCTGTCTTAGCTTGGAGGGAGAGGAGGAGAGTTAAGGCACACGGAAGCTGTGTCGCTGTCTCCTATGCACGCTGCGGACTTGCCACCAACCGTCACCTATGGATGGTCAGTGGCCCAGCAAAGCTTCCCGAATATTCTGTCTTGTCACATGTCTTTGGTTGCTGTGAAACAACTCAGGCTATGAGGAACTCTGTCAATTACCTAGAGCAAGTATTATAAAGAGAAGAGAAAAAGAGAACAGCTCTGCGACCTAACGCCTCCTGGGATAGCACGAATGGAGAAACCCGGAGAGGGTAGATGTGGTCCCTAATGTGAACTGATTCATGGCAGTGGGGTGCCCGTGAGCCATCCCCGGGATGGCTCAGCCTCCCCTTCTACTACATTCTCTCCTTCCAGGAGCCAGAACTGCTCCCCTAGAGGGAGAAATGTACCCTTCCCCCTCCACATCGTTATAAAATATGTCTCTGTTACAGCCTGACCCAAGGCCCATGGAAGCTTCCCTCCTCCAGGATGGGCACAGATCACTGCGGGAGGCCCCTGGAGGGAGGTGCTTCTTGGTCTTTCAGTAAAACTAGACTGCTCACCTTTCGTGTGCCATGCACTGAGATGCCAGTTGTCTTGGGTGGTTAATTATTGAGTTTCATTTGGAATTTGTTCTAAATTATTCAATTTGTGATGGGTAAAAATCCACCTTGCTTTCTCAATTTGTTTCATGTCTTAATTTCCACCAGAGACGAGCAGGCTAAAGCATCCTTAGAAAAATACCTACATGACCCTGCCATCACCTTAGTGTGTCTCTACCCCCAACCAAAACCAAAATATAGTACTCTCAGGAATTCCGATCCCATTTCCTACTTCCTAACTCCACAGGAGAAGCTCGATTCTTAACCATCTGCTGGAAATTTGGACAGGGGTTCTGACTGCAAACGTACAGGATTTCACATTGCAAACTGACAGATTTTGGAACCGCCATAGGTGCATGCAAATTATCATGTAAATGCAGGTTTCAATGAAAAGTGCAATCAGCACTGCTTTGTTAAATTTACATTCTGCTGAAACAGAAACCTACTGCTGGAGGGTAAAAAGACGGTTAAAATTACAAGGTAAATCTCAGTCAACTATCTCCTTTCCCTCAATTATGCAAACTCTTCTCTCTTCAAATAGCTACAGCTCCCATTCCAGGCCATTTCCTACTGTCTCTGCCCTGCTCTGACACGTTTTTCCTTTTTCTATACCCCCGAAGAGGCCACACACTGGGAGACGAATGTTAAAGTACATGACAAGGAAAAGTACCTCACATAGTACTGGACTGCATTGGTGGCTGCACCCAACAGGCCACAGACAGGTGGATTAAAGATACTGTTTTACAATTATAACTCAGCTTCATAACCTTATGAAAATTTTCAAGACATTTATGTAAAGCATTCTAATAGAAGATACAGTAGGTCTTGCACTCAAGCCATGTAAGAAACAGTATCAGACATATTTGCAACTTCTGAGTCGACGAAAGAAATCATGAATAACAACTGTCACTTTTTCCCCTACAAGTATTTTGAAGTTTATCAAATAAGAACTGATTGGATCAGCAGTAACCCATTTGGATCATTGTACACAGCTTGTATTTTGACTGAAATTCAAATTTGATTGCTGTATTTAAAGGGCATCAAAAAGATATTAATAATTTTGGGCTGGGCACCGCGGCTCACGCCTGCAATCCTAGCACTCTGGGAGGCCGAGGCAGGAGCATCACTTGAGGTCCGGAGTTTAAGACCAACCTGAGCAACAGCAAGACCCCCGTTCTCTACAAAAAATACAAAAATTAGCCAGGCATGGTGGCACACACTTGTAGTCCCAGCTACTCGGGAGGCTGAGGCAGGAGAATCATCTGAGCCCAAAATTTCAAGGCTGCAGTGAGCTAGGCTGACACCACAGCACTTTAGCCCAAGTGACAGAGCAAGACTCCATCTCAAAAAAAAAATTAATAATTATGTATTCTGGCATAATCTAAATCTAAAGTAGCTGAGATTTTTTAAGTACTTAATTTGAAAGAGCTTGTATTTTGAAATCTATTCATACCCATGTATATGATTGCTAATGATACACCGTGTGCTCTACTTTTGAGAGGAGGTATAGGCTAGAGGTTAATCATCAGCAACAACAAAACACATCTCTAAAACATCTGAATACATGGATTTCATTTTTTTTGTGTGTGTGGTTTAAGGCACCATCTATTTGAAAATAACCCTTGGACCAATGGTGGCTGAGAAACAGGCACCTCTGCCTGGGCTGTTTTTACAGTAATGAGTACCTGGATGTGCAGGAACCGCTTTGTCACTCTGGGATGTCACTCTGAGAACAACAACTACAGTTATTCTTCTCTTGGTTTAGAAGTGATAGGACACTCTGTTGGAAATGAGGGCGGGAGGATTGAGGAGAAGAAAGGCAGGGAGAGACGTATTTCATCTTTTTTAATTGTCGAAACACAGGCCAGTTGAATTCGTCATGCTTAAAATGCCTAGCATAATCAAACGCAAACACACACATACACTCAAACGAGCGCGTGTAAGAGTAGAGATCTGAGTAGGGTTGGTGGATTGTACCAATGCAAATTTTCGGGTTGGAATATTGTATTCCAGCTATGCGAGATGCTACCATGGGGCAACTTGCTGAAGAGTATATGGGATTTCTCTGTATTTCTTACAACTGCATGTAAATCTACAATTATCTCAAAATAAAAAGTTGAAGAAAAAAAAAACAAGGAAGAGAATATAGTATATTGCCATTTCGTTTTTTTTAAAAATACATGTATCATGTGTGTGCAGAGATTCACACACATAAATGTACATGCATAAGAGCCATATATATATATGTACACACACACATACATATATGTATATATATATACTATTTCTGTAAGGATAACAAATCATTAATACTGATCGCTTCTGAGGAGGAAAACTAGAGAAATAGTGAGAGAATGCATGTTAACTTTTTACAGTATACCCTCTGTGCCTGCTGGGTTTTGTGCTATTGGCATTACTCATTCAAAAAATAGTTTTTGAGGAGTAAGGACAAAAATAGCCATTTCAAACACAAAACAAGCGAAAACAAAAAACAGCATACAACGCAAGCCCAGTAAACCCGTATCAAGAGCCATAACTCTGATACATACATCCCCAGTGAAGATGAAAATACAGAATCGTAAGTAAATAACTTACGGCTTGAGATGCAATAGGACAGTCTGCAGTTGATCTTCCTGAAGAGCTGCTTGTTGATCGGCCAGAGCACGAGCGTGAAGAGCTGGATGGTGTTGATAATTAGCCCTGAGGCGATAAACACGTAGCAGAAGACCAGGTGGCACAGGAAGTGAGACTTCAGCAGTCCAACGAGGTCCATGATGTGTGGTTGCTTTTATTTCAAAATAAATAAATACCCGCAGTAGAATATTTCCAGAAGGAAGAAAGATCCAAGACTCAGGAAAGCGTCTAAAACACAAATGAATATTAAACATTAGCAAAAATATGATACGCTTTTATAGTCGAGGAAAAAAATGCTTCTCAAAGACAAACATACACTTGAGGTTAAACTCATTGTACACTAGTTGATTTATTTTTGTTTAGCAAACACTGATATCGTGCTTACTTCCTGTTGGGCACAGTCTAAGCCCTTTGCAAATAATCCTTCCTTTAATTCTCCCAGCACCCTCGGAGGTCGGTACTTTTATGACAGATGAGGAAGTCGAGGCCTGGAAGGCGACAGGCTCAGCCAGGGTTCTACAGCCTCCCCACCGAGCCACAGCTGAGCCAGCGGGAGCCACGGCCCCATCCTGAGGCTGCGGCCTGTCTGCTGGACTCGCAGGACGGGGCCTTCCCTCCTGGCCGAGTCCCGTCTCATCTCCCTCCACTTGCTATCTGCCCTCAGACCCCCGCTCACCCCTCACTTCCCACAGGACTGCCCTGAACTCCAGCCTGTCCTGGGCGAGAAGGGCGGAGACACATCTGGGGTGGGCCCCAGTCCCCGAGCCCCCCGCGCTCGTACGACATTTATCAGGCTCTGCTACTGCTTGTTGAATTCTTCGCCTTCCTCCGCTACTCTGCCAGCCTCTCCAGGCCCACGATTACCTTGAAGATTGTCGTCTCCTTAGCACCTTAGAAGCGCCCTTGGCACACAGTGGGAGCTTAATTTTTAAAAAAATATTTGTAGAAGGCTTTAATGAAGGTAGACAAGGACTGAACTTTGAGGGTGTCAGTAAACACACAAATTAACAATGAAGGTAAGAAAACGACCCCCTGCGCCTTGGCCCGCCACCCCCGTGCTTCTGATATCAGAAACTCCACACACACAGAGCGACAGCACTCACAGTCCTATCCAGATGGAATCACGAAATGACTTTACGGTTTGGGAAACAAATGGTTTTCTTTGTGAAAAAAGGTGAAAGCAGGAGTTTCAAAGACTCTGATGGAAAAGCAAGCTGAAGAGCGGCGCACCGGCTTCCCCCGGAGCAGAAGAGCCCCGCGAACGTCCCGGGAAGAACTCACACTGCAGGACAGACCTGACAGCGAGGGCTGAGGGATCCCAGATCTGTCGCACTCTTTATTAATAACGTCAGCAAAAAAGAACGACCTGTGTATAGCCACGCCCCGACTTACCATGGTTCAGCTTACGATTTTCAGCTTTGTGAGAGTGCAAAAGCCACGTGAAGGAGGCAGAAGCCCCGCGTACGCACACGACCATTCTGTTTTTCCCTTTCAGCATTCAACAAATTACATGAGACATTCAGCACTTTATTATACAATAGGCTTTGCGTTAGATGATTTTACCCAACTGGAGTCTAACGTAGGTGTTCCGAGCACATTTCAGTTAGGCTAAGCTAAGCTACAGTAGGTTGGTTGAGTGTATTAAATGCATTTCCCACTTACAGTATTTTCAATTTACAGTGGGTTTATCAGGATGTAACTCCATCATAAATCAAGGAGCATCTGTAATGTTTCAGACATATTATCTCATTTTAAGGCTCCCATGAATCCCATGAGTTGAGTATTATTATCCTACTTTTCAGAATAAGAAACCGAGGCAACTGCTAGTTTGGCTGACTTGCCTAAGGTTGTCACCTGGATGCCTGACCTTGGGGCCCAGCTTTAACTCCAAGCTCTTTCTCCTTTGCCTGTCCAGGCTGTTCTGCTCCTGAGTAAGGGGAGAGATTCTCCCGCACTCAGAACTCCTGTTGGCAGAGCAGCCCCGAAATTACCCCAAGGGCAAAAGACAGTGCAGCCTCTAGTGAAGTTCATAATCGCAAATTATGCTGAGAGACGTAGAATGAAACTCGCTCCTGGGTCATCCAGGTGGTTCTGAGGATGGTCTCAGGCATAAGGACAGTCAGAGGGAGGTAGGTTCCCCCTGGCTCATCTGGAAGGCAGCCACACTCCTGTGAGATTCCTACGCATTTCTGATAGGAGAGAAATGGGACCCCTCGGCCTGGTTTCTCTGAAATCAGCTTAGCTTAGCTGAGACGTCCCATTCTTCAGGTCCCAGAAGCTCCACTCTCTGGCACCCATCCAGGCCCTGCAGGTCTGAATCACATCTCTGGCCTTCCCCACAGGACATTTCCACAGACATTTCCAGGTTGCAAAACTCCTTACTTAGTTTCAGCGCTCCCAGTCTCCCAATAAGGAACAGGCATTAAGCTGGCAGCTCGCCCTCCACGCACTGGACTCCAGGAGCCACACAAAAAGGAGTGATTTGCACTGGTTTACAGCTCAGCAGCAGTTTGGGTTTGATGTTGAATATTCATGCAAGTTTATTCATTGTCCCTGGACTAGCCACTCATAGCTTCCAGACAATATGGCCAGACAAAACTGGATTCTTCACTAGGTTTCTGGGGTCTAACATTGATAAAATAGTTGACAAATTCTTTGCTTTGCTGATTTAATACTAAGAAAAGGAAGTCAACTGACATGGGAGATGCAAGGGATTAAATGCTGCCTTCCTCAGTCTCTAGCGCAGTATTAGGGCATGACAAAAACAATTCAAGATTTTTTTTCTCCTTGTAAAATTTCAAAGACCACTATGCCCTCAGGTAAAACCCTCACTCGTCCTGCACGAACCAGGGCTAACACCGTATCCGTGATGTTTAAGAAGGAATCGCAGACAGACAAGCCTTAGGAGGAATCAGGCAGAAAAGCCTTGGTTTGTCTGGGGTCTTGGGTTGTTAATCCCCACAAACGTCCTCAAGGCCCGTTTGCTAGACCGGTGTTGTGTTCGAGCTGAGCTTGGGAGTTCAACTGCCTGACTTTCAAGCTCTATCTCTTACTGGTCGTGTATCTCTGGGTAAATTAACTTTTCTGAATCTCAGTTTGTCTATCTCTAAAAGGGGTAATAGGATCTAATCAAAATCCCGAGGAAGCTATTGTTTTTTGATCTTGTGAAACTTAAGTTGATTCTCAAATTTATATGCAAAAGCAAAAACAAGAATAGTCAAGGAATTGCCTGAAGAACAGGGTGAGAAGTGCTATGAGTTGTTCAATAATTCAACTGACTTAGGTTCTAGCGCAGATTATTGAGAGAGACAAGATGAAATTACACAGGGGGGTGTCCGCAGACAAATGCGATTGTGTCTTAAGTTTATTCCAGGTAGAGGTTTGGAGGACCCGTCCTTCCCATCTTGAATAAAGGAGAGCTTTCTCTTCTAATGTGGCAAGTACCCAATTTCGTGTGGTACTGAGGGAAAGATGGTATAGATATCTGACCAGTGATGAAAATAGCTAGAGAGAAAACATTTTTAAATACTTCGCCTATTTCCCATTCAGCTTTGTAAGTACCTAGAATGTCATGGAAAGAATCTTTCCAGCAAACCCACTTTAGCAGTTTATTATACGAGGCAAGGATAGGACAAAGAATTTTATGCTGTTTCTGAGAATGTCAGAGAAGTAACTTAAGAAGTTTCTAAATCAACAAAGAACTATGAAACTGTTTCCATGTCATATTTCTCTGAATAAAGACATTTCTTATCAACGGGGCAACAATGATGAACTCGTGTGCTCAAAACTCCAAAAGTGGTGTTGCTTGTGCTGGGTTTTGGCACTCAGCAAGTGAAATAGCAGCGGGCTGCACACCGGGGGGCCTTTTTCTGAAGCTCACCCACATGCCCTTGAGAACCAACCCTGGGGATGTCAGGTGCAGGATGCCAAACCCTCCTGGGCATTCTCTTCCAATGGGCTCATGCAGTAAAGTCTGCCTACAGAGACCCCCACTGTCATCTCTGAGGGACAGAGTGACTAGATTAGGGCTCAAAGCACACACTAGCTATGGGGGGAAAGGCAGAGGGAGGATTCTTACCAGACAAACCACCACCCTGCAAACTGAGGCAACATACAGAAGGGAGTGTGGAAACATGAAGACATTTTTAAGAGAAATCACAGAAAATATGGAAAATGCATGCCAGGAAATCTACTTTGGATACATTATCTGAATTTTCCAGAAGATAGAGTCTGACCACCTATGGGTTTAATATACATTGAACCAGCATTCTAAACATGGACAAAAAGCCATTGTCACTAGGAATCACAAAAGGTTCCAGAGAATTTACTCCAAATTACCTTTATTTCCCATGCTGCTGATGGTTCAGATTTTGAACTTAATCTTTCGACAGTCTCTGGCCGTCCTTGAGGGCATATTGAAAAACTGTTGGCTACGAGTTTAATAGCTGTTTGAAGAACAAGTAGCTGTCATTAATGTTGGGGTGGGGGTTACTGGACGCCAGCGAGAGCCTCCTTCAGCACCATTTGGACATAAAAAATAAGCTGCTCATACAAGGATATGGGCAACGTGGGGGTTGCACACATGGGGGACGATAACTATGAGCCAACAGTGCGACGAAGGGTTAGGTCAGCTCGTGTGGACCTTCAGAGAATATTAGAATACACTGAGTAAAGCAGGTTCACAAAGAAGCTTGGTTACGATTCTGCATTATAAAATAATAATGTGTGCACATATATCATTCACATCCACATCTATTTCTGTGTCCACAGCCACCTATTAATAACGGCTAAATTATGGAGGAAGGAATAGGGCTGATTTCTTTTTTCTTCTCTGTGTTTTATCATCCTCTTCTGTGATGAGAATGAGAGCAGCCCGCTCTGGGTACAGACCGGGATGGAGCGTATTCCTCGGCCCGCCAGAGGTTAGGTGTGGTCGGACACGGGCATGCGCAGTGGGGTCCAGGCACCCGCCGGTCTCCGAGGGAGGAAGTGTGCTGCTTGCTAACGTGATGAGAAAGGGCTGAGGGCTGGCACGTCCTATTAGAGAGAGTGGAAAGGTGATAACCCGGCCAGCAAGACAAGAGAAGCAGTGAAATGTGAAGGCAGCCCCAGCCACCGGGGGTCCAGGCGCTGTCGTCTGCGTGGGGCGACACAGCACGGTCGTTAGGGTGCTGATGTTGAGAGTCGGGCAGTTCTGGCTACAAATCCAATCTCAGCCACGTTACAGC